AAATATATCGAGTTTATTATATGGGATTTAAACGATAATAGGATTTGATCGATAAAGTAGGATGCTTATGTTACTTGTTCGATTAAAGTTTTAAAATGTATAAAATTGTATATGTATGGTATAATTTTATGTTCATATATGATTTTAGAAATAATTGAAATACATATATATATATGTATATATATATATATGTATATATATATATATATATAATTTAATTTAATTTTATTTTTAATTAAATATATATATATATATATTTTTTTTTTCGTTTCAACAAACCTGTCCAAGATCACCACCCATCTGCATCGAGATAATACGAAGATGATCCTCTTCGTTGCACCAAACGAGGAAGGTCTTAGTGTCGTTATGGAAAATTCCACGACCGGTTGGCCAGAAACGGCAAGCATTGGCAGCCTGAAGGAAACGATCACCCTCTTTAAAGAGGAAATGATCGTCGATAAGTTTCTGTTGTACTTCTTTGCTCATGCCGGTCAATGGATAGAAAGTTCCTTTCAATTCATCGGTTAAACCGGATAAAGTGCTTGATACTTTTTCTTCCATCTCTTTGTATTGAGCCTCGGTTAAGCAAGGATTAAAGGGGTAACCTTCCAATGAACGTCCACATCTTACACGAGTTGAAACGATGAATTCACCCTACATTTTAAATATTATTTACAGATTTATTATTAGGAATATTTTCTTTTAATTATATCATTTTGCTAATCGTTTGGCTCATAAAAAAAAAAAAAAAAAAAATCTACAAGCGTATGCGAATATTTGGAATTATCTAAAATTTTTATTATACAATTGGCCTGATCTAGATTAATAATTTGGGGAAAAAAAAAAAAGAAAAAAAAAGAAAAGAAAAGAAAAAAATGTTCATTGTTTTAATAATATAATTTTAACACTTATCTAATTGCTCGATTAATAATCTCAATCTACAAATATATCTACAAATATTAATAATGGATATCTTAAAATTCTGATTATACAATTGGCCTGATCTAAGCGATTAACAACGAAGTTATCATTCTTGTTATATTTAAAAACACTTACAGTCGGATCAAGGTTTCCTAAGGAATCAACATCGCCAAAGTCCTTAGGAGGATGTTTATCGGTCTTTTTGAAACCACCATGATAATCATCGATGATCGGATCAAAGAGATCAGCAAAAACGGTATAGGCCTCGGCATCAGGGGCGTATATACCAACGCCGGAATCATGATTCTCCAAACCAGATTGGATCACATCTAATAGGGTCGAACCAAAGGATGTTTTCTTTGTTTTAAGCTGATCGAAAATTTCCTTCGTCAGATATTTCTTCAATAATGATTTGCTGTCGGAAGCGGCCAGCTTGGCATAACCAGCTTCCAATTTATCCAATACTGCTTGGTCCACCATGTTATTGCTCTCTTTTTTACTGTAAACAGAAACGCATTCAATTATATTAATTTATATGAATTTATATACGTGTTTGTATATATATATATATATATATATATATATATATATATATTACAATACATAAATATAATATATTGATACAATATATAAAAATTGTGCAAAATTCATGCAAAACGATGGGCACTAGGGGGATCGACCGAATTCTTTCTTTTTCTCTTTACATATTTTTATGCACATAATTTGTTCATTAACAAAGTATTACAAATATTGCGCTCGCTCGTTCTTTCTTTCTTTTTTTTCTTTCCTTTTTTTTTTCTTTTTTACAAAAAAATTGTGCTCGAACACAACAGTGCGGACAGAACGTGTGGACTTAGTGTAGAAGAAATTTCCAGTGTAATTCATCCTCCTCTTTCTCTCTTTATTTCTCTCGACGTGTACGTAACAAAACTTCTTCTTCTTCTTTTTTTTTTCTTTTTTCTTTTTGATCATTTGTTCTTTTTTTCTTTTCTTTTCTTTTCTTTTTTTTTTTTTTTGCTTTTTGCTTTTGTTTGCACATAGAGAGGATATATCAAAGTGAGATTTGTGTACATACTCGTCGATCGGTGAAGTATTTTCCGTCGATTCGCATATGCCCATCGAAGTACATATACCCATCGCGTTATTTTAACTTCCTTCTTTTGGCCAGGATAATATGACGTCAGATAACGTCATCTCATCTAGATAAAACTTTGCTAAATTTTTATTATATTCTAGTCGACAATTGTACGTCGTAAATATGTATATGTATTTGTTTCATGGGGAGAGAAAAAAAAAAAAAAAAAAAAAAAAAAATTATATTCTAACGATGACGAAGATAACAATTGATAACAATTGATGAACTATTGGAAACATGGAAACGTTTTTTCGTTCTTTTTTTCTCTCTCTCTCTCTCTCTCTCCCTCAATATGGCTGAATACGTGTGAGTTAGAAAAATATAATACTAATAATAATACTAATAATAATAATAATAATAATAATAATAACGATCAATAATGATGAAAATTATTCATAATACACATGTGATACTTAATAATAGATCTCTGATCGATGATTTTATTTTTGTACATAGAAACACGTTCAAATTATTATTACTTTTTATTACCTTCTTTTTTTTTTTCTTTTTCTTTTTAAATACCTGTAAGTCCGACGAATTCAATAATATTGCGTTATAAAATAATAACGAGGATTAATAATACGATGACGAAATAAATGATCTATCTAAAATACATACTCGTCGGCCGAGGTGGTATCCTTCGACGTGCACCCGCCCATGTTGTGTAGATTAGACTACCGGCGACGCACCCTCGTGTATATTCGAGGAAGAATAAGAAGAGAGATGGAATAATGGAATTGGTCCAAAAAGAGGGGTAGAAAGAGAAAGAGAGAGAAATGAGGAAGTGAAGAAGTAAATCAGGAAGAAATTTATCACTCTCTTCTCGATCTTCTTCCTTTTTTGAATTTTTTTTTTTTTTCAATAAATAAAGCCTCGTTTAAATACTAGACTATAAATTCTCACTGTCAATAAAATCACCGAGAGAAGGAGAACGGCTTTGTCTATAAAAAACACACCCAAAAATCTCTGCTTCTCGACCAATCAGAATAATCCTTTATGTAACAGTACGACACACAATTTGGAGAAACAGACAAGAGGGAGATA